GGGGGGTACCTGAGACCACAGAGGACCTTTATTTTGTCTCTTTGTCACCCCAAGACCAGTTCTAACCCCCCACCTCCTGATGTATTCTGCCCTTTGTCTTCAGACTCCCATCTGCTATGAACTGAATATTTGTGTCTCCTCCCAAATTGCTATGTTGAAACCTAATCTTCAGTGTGATGGTGTCTGGAGGTGGGGCCTTTGGGAGGTGACTGGGTCTTGAGGATGGAACCCTCATGAATGGGATTAGTACCCTTAGAAAGAGACTCCAGAGAACTCCCTTGTCCTTCCACCACGTAAGGACACAGAAAGAAGTTGCTGCCTACGATCCAGGAGGAGGGCTCTCGCCAGACACAGAACCTGCCAGTTGGGGCCTTGGTCTTGGACTTTCAGCCTCCAAAACTGTGAGAAATAAGTTTCTGTTGTCTATAAACCACCCAATCTGTAGTATTCTGTTATTGCAGCCCCAACTGGGACAGCATCCCAGTGAAACTTGGAGGCTTGCAAGTTCAATCTCTCTCTCTCTCTCCCCCCCCCCTTCAATTCAGCTCCACTGAACAGACGTGCGTCAAGTGCCTCTATGCTTGCTGGGCACTGTGTCACACTAGGGTTTCAGTGGTCGGCAAAACAGACAAACCCCCAAGACTTTCATTTTTTAGATCTGTGTTGGATACATTTGTTTACAATATTGTACTACAATATTTCTAAAAAATGTGTATGTGGAATTTTTGTATTATCCAATATTAAAATTCACCAGAGGAATTTATCCTTCCAATGGGGGGGGGTCTTATTAAAAGTACTTTATTTTTACATGAATAATTTCACCTAAGTAATTTCATATGTGTCCCCTCTTTTCATATGTGTGGTTTCCTAAAGAGATGCATCTTTTTTTAATACAGGAAGAAAGTTTTCACAGAGAAGTGTACACTTTATTTGGGTCTAATAATTGCACATTTGGAATGTGGGAAGTTGCCATTAATCTTGTTTCTTTTACACAGAAAATGCCTTACCAACCGTGCAATGACAAAAGACAACCACGAGTAGTCACTGTGAGCCCACTCCTTCGGCCCAAGCTTTGCTTTTAACGTGGGCTTGTTGCGCTTGCCAGCAAACGCATTTGCCTGCACGACGTGAATCACACATTAGTCTGATTGACCATTTTTAGATAATTTTTAGGTAAATGGTAGAACATTTAACCAGGCCTTTTCCTTTGTTTAGTACACATCTTGGTTAAGTTAAGGGCATTAACTGGCTCTCTAATTCTCCGCTTTAGAGATCTTCAAATAAAGAGTAAGATTAAGGAATTTATGCTCAAGCCATAGGAAAGACGCTTACATTTTTCATATGGAAAGACTTAGGTCCACTTTTTCATATGCACCTAAGGTTGGAAGACCTGGAATTGTGTCTCAGGTGTATCTTACTAGTCCTGTTATATGCTGTAGAAACGTGAAGACGTGGCATAGCAAAGTTTTCTGAGAGAAAATGCCTGGAAAGACCTTTTTTCTGAAAGGTCTGGGGACTCACTGTTTACACTTACCTGGGATGACTGGACCCTGAGAGACTGACTCTCACAACTAACAGGGCGTCTGGGACGGTGGTAGACCTGGGATGTCAGTTTGTTAAGTTATACTGTGTGGGAAGTGAGATTCTAATCACAAGGAGGGCTTGGGGAGTAGAGTTACAGCCAAGGAATGTGGGTGATTTTAGGGAAAGTCTCTCAGTTAGGATAGCTCGAGGGACTTCCCTGCTATACAGGGAGCCTTGCCAAAGGCACCACATCCTTGGAGTCTGTGGGCCACCATACCGATTCCTGAGGATAGCAGAGGCTTCTCATGGCCTCTGCCTGCTGCTGGCTCCCAGGTCCCTGTGCTTCCCTGGCTGCCCCGCTTACTCTTCAGTGGACATACTCTCTCTCTCCTTACGGCTAATTCATTGAAAAGGTTATGCTTTGCTGGCCTCCTTTGAGTGGCCATTTGTATATCTGTGCTGGGATCATTCAGATATTCTCTCCCATTAATAGATAATTATTGATAGTTATTTTTGCTTTAGTCTCTATCAAAGGCAACATATATTTCCAACTGCTCTATATTGCTTATGAATAATATTAACTGTAGCTAAATATTTTTAGTGTCCATCAGTGCCGGTACTGTGCTATGTACTTTGTATATGTTATCTCACTTAATTCTCACAGTAATCATTTAGGAGCATCTGCTATTCCCACTTTATAGATGAAGAACCTGAGAGTCGCAAAGGTTAAGGGATAGTCTAAGTGATAAAGTCAGAATATGAACTCAGGGGTTTCCATTCCAAGATCTTAACCGTGTGACAGACAACTCCTTCTACCACTGAGCACTTGAGTTCTAAAATATGGCTTCACAAATACCTCTGTGTGTGTGACCTGTGGGTGATCTGGGCATTGTTGAATTTTTATTGGTTGAATTTTTATCATTAGAATATAAAATGCTAATGGAGTTACAAGAGTGCAGATTTTATAACTGCTCTTTCAATGGAATGGTGTTGCTTGGGTTTTATATTTTGTGTTGTACTTAATACAAAAGCTGTTTTTTCTTTCTTTTTAAAAAAATATGTTTTTATTGATTTCAGAGAGAGGAAGGGAGAGGGAGAGAGAAACATCAGTGATGAGAGGGAGCCATTGATCAGCTGCCTCCTGCACGCCCCCTACTTGGGATGGAGCCTGCAACGCAGGCATGTGCCCTGATGTGGAATCAAATCATGAGCTCCTGGTTCATGGGTGGAAGTTCAACCACTGAGTCATGCTGGCTGGGCAAAAGCCATATATATATATTTATGTTGTAAGGAAATATCTGAAAACATCCAGGTCAATAGACCCTGGTGATGAAATACTCCCAAACACCATGAATGGCTCACTAATAAAAGAGATATATTCCTATAAAATAGTTTCCACAGTCAAACTTGTATGAATGCAGGAAGAACACAGCAAAAGCAAGAGTTCTGAGTCATCATATTATAATAACACTAGCCCAGGTTTTCTAAGCACTTACTTTGTGCCAGACATTGTGGTAAGCTCTATATGGATATTAACTCACATAACCAAGAACCTATGAGGCAGGCACTATATTAACCCTCATTTTACAACTGAGAAAATTGAGGCCCAGAAAGGTGAAGTAACTTGGTCCCACAGCTAGTTTAGTGGAGGAGCCAGGGTTTGAACTCAGGCACCCTGGTCCTCCTTCTTGACCCCTGCGCTCTCCCTAGTGATCATGGCGGCCCTTGTATTTGACACTCTGTCATCTATTATAGAGCCTTTTCTTTTTGTGCACTTGATTTCTCTGGGGTCTCCTCCAGGCCAGTCTTCCCTAGAAGATATGGTGATTTGCCCTGACCCCCAGCATTAGGGATAGCTACGGGAAAGCTCAGTATCTGTGATTTAGGACCCATAGTTTAGAGTGCTGGGTAGGAAGTTTTTGTGCTTGACGAAATCCTTCACGTCTTTAAATCTCATGATTGGTGAAAGAGAGACATAATAAGATAAGGGATTTGTTCCAAAGGGAGTTAAAACTTTAATATAAATGTAGCCTAAGGAGGTCTTCTCTACAAGACATATAATGGGTCCCATTTGAATTACTGGCGAGAAGGCGGATTCGTGTTGATGATGATGACACCCGCATTTGTAGAGCACTCTGGCCCAGGCTGTATACTCCGTTAATGCAGATATTAACGTTTACAGTGAGCCCAGAGCAGTCAGCTTAGCTTTTAATGTGTCAAATAAGGGACATGCGAACCCTTTAGGAATTCTCAGGAAGTGGTGATCAGGACAGGTTCCCAGGGACGGTTAGTGGG